TTCGCATTGTCAGGCGTTAGTTCGTTTATCTTTAAGTAGTCTTTAGCACAAGCTATTTAGGCAATATCTCACCGGCTTCACATCTATCGCAACGAAGACTTTAGACTATTCACTTGATAAAGCTATCTTATCCTCTATCCTATAGCTCCGTTTTTTTTACCTACCTAAGCTGGTAGCGTTAAAAGCTCACGGGGCTCTACCCTGTCGACGTTGCTAACACTGACCCTAGCAAGAGCAGTGCTTCGCAGAATTTACCACCGGATTGGAAACGTGATCACTGAGAAGATCCGGCGAGAAACTCGGTGGGCCTATCTCCCGTGCTTCTCAAGCAAAGCTCTAGATTTTTGATAGTTTTTCTATATTTATCTATATATATATAACTTAGTTAGTCTCGCTAAAACTCGAGAAGGGCTGGACCGATTTGGTTAATTTTGGTCTCGAATTATTTGTGGAAGTCCAGAGAAGGCTTAAAAGGTAGATAAATATGAAAATTTTTGGAATCAAATAAAGTTTAGGTCTTTTATTTATCGATTGAGGCACTACGAAGTCTGCCGGGTCAGCTAGTTTATAATAAATATCGATAAGCTAGGATCCTCGTTTACTTGCTAAGGCTATTTTATTAGACTTTTGCGAGACGTGGACACTATACTAGCTACTTATACGATTCGTGACTTTCGAAAAAATCTGATAAATTCTTTATATAATATTTTAATTCTTAAAGTTCATGAGTAATACAGTTTTTCTCGGTGTACGAATTCTTAAATGATGGTATGCCGTCCCTCTCTGCCGAGAGTAAGGCCATCAATAGAATTGCAATTAAAGCTCCAATCTACCATCGCCGTCATAGTATAACATCCAGGCTGTCATATTGGTCGTAGGACGTCTTGTGGGTCCGCACAGGTAGGTACCATCACTTTGCCTGTTTCAGCAGTGAAGCAGTAATGCGTTTCGGTTTGAAGGGTGGGGCAGCCGTTGTAACTATACTGAGATCTTAGAACTTATATCTCAAGATGGGTGGCGCATTTACGTTGTAGATGTCTATGGGCTCCAGTAACCACTTAACACCAGGTGGGCTGTGAGCTCGTTCACCCATTTAAGCAATAAAAAAAAATAAAAAAAATTATACAATTTTTTTTATCGTTACCATATCGTAAAACATTGAGGCTTTTAAATAATCATTTTTCAACACTTTCCTTTTGAGTTTCAACATTGGAAGTATCGATAAAGAAATAACTCGATTCTTGCGTTTACACCAGATTTAAATGATATTTTAAAATGACCCTACCACTAGTAGTGGTCTGTAACACTGAGCAGACCTTTATTTGAGCTTTTTGCTGTGTGAAGCTCATCATTATACGAGTATGTCATCAATGTATCAATTAGTTCGGTAATTATTGACAGGCTGTTAATTTTAATTGACGTTAGATATTAATTGTTACCGACAATGCTAGCTCGTTTTGTTGTCATCGACTGGCGTTTTTACTGGTGGTAGGACCTCTTGTGAGTCCGCGCGGGTAGGTACCACCGCCCTGCCTATTTCTGCCGTGAAGTAGTAATTCGTTTCGGTTTGAAGGGTGGGGTAGCCGTTGTAATTATACTAAGATCTTAGAACTTATATCTCAAGGTGGGTGGCGCACTTACGTTGTAGATGTCCATGGGCTCCAGTAACCACTTAACACCAGGTGGGCTGTGAGCTCGTCCACCCATCTAAGCAATAAAAAAAAATCGAAAGATTGGTAGCTCACGGCGCATCTGATGGTAAATAATTACTTACGGACATCGGCTTCCACCCTCTTTGTTATTACTACATCCTCAAAACACAAGCTCTATATTAAATAGCTTCTTGACGATGTAAGTATATATCATGATGTTACTGGTATTTTTTTCAAATATTGCATTATCAAAATATTTTTTCACGTTATCATTACATAGTATAAAACAAAGTCGCTTTCTCTGTCCCTATATCCCTATGTATGCTTAAATCTTTAAAACTACGCAACGGATTTTGATGCGGTTTTTTTTTAAAGATAGAGTGATTGAAGAGGAAGGTTTATATGTATAATAATATCCATTAAATAGTGAAGAAATACTGTTATCAATAATAAATTACAGTTCCCTAAGCGAAGTGAAGGCGGGTCGCTAGTACACAAATAAAAAAATAAAAATCGCGTATAACATTCATGACTTTATTAAATAGCTTAAACTCACAATTCGAGAAGATTAAACATTGACATTCATTTTATTTAATTAATTAATTAATTAATTAATTCAATTACAATTAATCATATTGACAACATGTTTTGAATATTCTGCAAACACTAAATGACAAGCTCGTATGCATCAGTTATTTAATAAGAAAGAGAGAATAAAAACCAAAAATCATAATCAGTCTTTAAACGACTGATAATTCTAATGGACCAAGCAATGACAATAAACTACACCTAACTAGAATTTTTATTATGAGAATATCCACAAGCAATTTTTAGGCTTCTTTCAATGAAATATGTAACTTGTTTTTATTTGGAGGTGTTGGATCTCAAAGGACGGTACGGTTGTTTCACGACACGTAATGTTACGTTGTAATGACTGTGAAGTCGGTTCATTGACCCGTGAGGTCGTCCACTATTCAGTGGAAGACAAAAATTACGTAATGTTTATATATATATATATCGACGCTTGAAAGGCAAACATGACCAAGCGACAATGCGTGAACTTTACAATAGACTAATTTAAAGTTGAAATACCTGAAAACAAATTTTATTTTAACGAATCTAGCTGTAGTAGAATCTAGCTAGTAGCTGTTGGATTGAAATGATTTTAATAGACCTAGAAATATATATTTTTTTGCGCATCGAATATGGTTATTGCCTATCATTTATGTACAAAGCAGTTATTGTCGCTTAGTCATGTTTGCCTTTCAAGCGTCATGCATAATGATTGGCGTAGTCGGAATTTTCTGTCGGAATTAGATTTCCAACAGAATATTTCATGAACAAAACAATAATTCTCGGTATCAAAAACGGAAAGGTCAGAACGAATTTCGAACTTCAAACAGTGAATAGATCTTTTATCATATTCTTAGAATCTAGCTATTGAAATTAAGTCATGGAGCTAATTAGAACTTCGATTTTCTTTATTGCCTAGATGTCTGGACAAGCTCACAGCCCACCTGTTGTTAAGTGGTCATTGGAACCCATAGACATCTACAACGTAAATGCGCCACACACCTTGAGATATAAGTTCTAAGGTCTCAGTATAGTTACAACGGCTGTCCCACCACCACTGCTTCACGGCAGAAATAGGCGGGGTGGTGGTACCTACCCGTGCGCACTCACAAGAGGTCCTACCACCAGTAAGTCAAATGTTTCATTTCTATATTCATTAATAAATTATCTAAACGTTTTTATTAACAAATTTACTTATTACCGAGTAAATTCCTAAACAAAATTGATGTAAAACCTAACCAGTCTGTAAAACAAGCGCCGTGGGTGCATTGTGGAAACAGCTTTAGTCAAGATGGCCTAGAATTGCATTGCGATATTTGGATTCATTTAAATACTAAAACTGGATTATCCAAATTTGATATTTATCGTCAATATAGCGTAGAGTATAAGGCACCATTGTTTATCCATAAATACTTAATTTATATTATTACAATAAGGACGAAAGTACAACACACAATTACAACTATTCTGATGTTGAATGGAAAAGAATTTTGGCACGTTTATTATATTATTATTATGATAAAACAAAAAAAAATATAATCGAAGTGATATGTTTGGATAATTGATTTTTCAAAGAAAAACACCCGGAAATTATGTTTGTGTAATGGAAAATAAAACAAAAAAAATGTATAATGATGTATTTTTTATTTCGATTCAAAAAAAAATAATGTAACAATAGAATTATTTTTAATTCTTAAATATAAAATCGTATTTGTTCAATGGATGGATTTTTTTCATTTTTTTTAGCTTTTTAAATCAAATGAAAAAATTAAATAAAAATCATTCGTTTGATTTTTAAAATGATTGTTACAGAATCGTATAAAACTGAAATAAAAAAATTTAAAAGTATTTTTTTTTAACTTAAAAATTAAAAATATTATATGCAAGACTTTGGTATGTTTTTTTTAATAACCGATTTAATTTTGGAGTAAAAAAGCTAATATTTTTTACACAATTACACGGTATTTATTTACAATGAGATTATTTTATTTTTAAAATGAACAAAATAAAAAAAAAACCAAAGTAACATTATTGTCAGTTCGATTTTTGAGTATTATTTGTTATTATGTACAGTTTTGTTACTGAAAATATGGCTTCGAAAAAAATTTGAAAAAAATTATCTTAAAATGATTAAAATTAATATCTAGTTTTGACTATAAAATTTAGTTACATAATTATTAACAGTAAAATAAGCGCCGAAGTCGGGCATTATTAATTAAAACTTATCATTTATTTTTTCGTTGGGACTTCCATTACGAAAACATTTAATAAAAATTTAACGTTAATTCTCATTTTCTATAACAATATATTAATAGCTAAAAACACATCGATTTAGAATTTCAGGAAACAATTACAAAAAAAAAAGAAAACATCATTGTAGCTATCATTATTTTTTATAAAAATAAATGACAAAGAGATCCTTCGAAGGAATCATTTAGAACAATTCAATGACAAATTTGTCATTTGCAATAACTTTTTTGACAAACCAACAGACGACAGAATCGATTCATGTTTATTAATTTTTTAATTCAAGATTATAATATAATCTAAAACATTTACATAAATGTAAAAATCGAAAAAATTGTCTTTAATTCTTGGACGTAGTCTGAATATTTACAAAAATTATGTTTTTTTTTTATTTATTTAATATTATTATTAGTAATAATAATCATATTTTGATAAATCAGTCAAACGTTTTAATTACAACCAGCGCTCAGCCCCGCGCTCCCCACCCTCTCACCTCCCCGCGCCCCACCCCCCTTCACTTTCCCCCACACGAGTTTCCACTTAACAGATATTTATTTACCCTTTCAAACCTATATTCTGAATTCAAAGCAATTTTACAAAAAGAACAAAGTGTTATTTCATTAAATTACCAACGAACAAAAGTTAATGCGAAACCCGATATAGGTACGATGTTTATCTGTGTGGTTAGATTATGAACTGTTTGGATATATTCCATAAGGTTCTAAATCGAAGTGACCCGGGGAGGTTCAGGGAACGCGAAATGGGCTGACGTCATTTCAACAATATCTATCTAAATGAAAACCATTGTCTGTAATAGTTTATCACATTCAATTGTTAATTATAAATCTATCTACAATGTCTGTCTACTCTCTATTTACACTTGACACTTAACGTAACTTTAATTGTCGTTTAGATAATCACCGAGTCACTAAGTCACTTTGGGTTTGCACTTTGTACACTTTGAGTTTGCACTTTGTACACTTTGAGTTCGCACTTACGGTTTTGGTCACTTTGTACTTGGACTTTGGCCACTTTGAGTTTGAAAACACGATGGTTTAGACAACGTGAGTCTCGCTTCTTTTATTGAAGGACTCATCGATGGTCACGTTTTGTTTTTTGTTCTCCTTCTTGATGGTTCCGTACTGTGGAGTGTCGCTGGTGAGGTTCTGCACCGTCAGGATCTGGTTGCTGTTGTGTGGGGTGCTGGAGGAGACGGGACTCCCGTAGGGGTGCCCGTACTTGTGCCTCGACGGGTCCTTGAGGATCGACTGCGGCTGTTTCGTAGACGGCGTCTGGGATATCTGGTGCTGAAAACGAGGGCTTGTTTAAATCTGAATTAATTTAACAAAAAATCACCGCTTGAAAGCTGATAGACGTGAAACATTGATATTATGTTGTACAGGTAATGTATAAAAGAATAGACTCGACTAGAGATTATGACATGAAACCTATTGGTATAAAAAAAATGAACACTAAGAAACAGTCGTTTGACCATGGCGACTCGTCGCCGCACCCTACACACTATGTACTACATAAAGACTTTACGTATACATATATATACAGTATCATATCGCCAGAAATCAGTTTTACGTGCAACTTTATGGGTTTCACATCAAAAAGGTCTTATTATGGGTCTATAGCTGTTCGGAGCTAGTATATATACAAGCTGATCTTGAAAATGTCGTAAGCGAGATTCAAGCATCTGTCGAATATCTTGTGTTGTATGATGGCTACCGCCATACTCTCATAAGTCAATTTTAAATGAAGCTATAGTTACAACGGCTACCCCACCCTTCAAACCGAAACGCATTACTGCTTCACGGGAGAAATAGGCGGAGTGGACCAACCCGTGCGGACTCACAAGAGATCCTAACATCAGTAAAGACCTGATAAACCTTGTTTCCAGAGAGCTATCACACGTTCCGGCTCAAGCGGTGGGACAGCAGACCTTACGGTACAAAGTTGTGATGTCTATGAGCTCTGGGAGATGAGGACTAACATCTCCTTGGGCTCGTCCGATGTGAGCTGAGTTGTAAGGAGGGGGAGTGGGTCCCGGGCCGTACCTGCGCGCAGTTCCCCGGGTGCAGCACGGTGACGTCAGGAGGGGGGACCGCCGCCATCTTGTCGAGCCGCTGCCTCCTCAGAGTGCCGCCCGCCGACTGACGATCTATAGATACTGTAGTTCTGTTAGTATTTTAATTTATATTAATAATCTTTATGGTCCACTGCCTCAAGTATTATTGAACGACAAATCCGTTAAAAGACGCGTTTTGAATTTAGATGATGATCCACAGCCCACTGAGTTTCACGCCGGATCTTCTCAGTGGGCCTCGTTTCCGATCCGGTGTTAGATTCTGTTACTGCTCTTGCCAGGACCAGTGTTAGCAACATTCCCGGTTTAAGCCCCGTGAGCTCACTTAATAGCTCGATGAATCTAGAATAACCCCTCGAGATTACTAGAATAGGTAGGAATTTTTTTTTCAGCTTTATTACACTTATTCACAATGCTCTTTCAGAGATTGTTTCTGTCACATATAATGTTACTCTTTAGGTTCACAGTCTCATATTCCCTGAACCAACATGATGGGTCCTTCTTCAAACAAGACTTAAGGACAGACGTCAGCGGTAGACTCGTATCCACGAACGATGGAAGCTGACTATCTGATGAGCAGTGTGCTTGTCTGATTCTTAGAATGACAAAAGACGTGGACTCGAAACAGAGCTTAAATTAAAACAGTAACTAATTTTACGAAACCAGAACGATTGAATTCTTCACAAGATAATGGATCATCCGTGTGAGCTTACAATACGCACCACCACCAATGAATACGTAAATAGAAACCATACTAGATTTCAATATCACAAGTTTTATTCACGATAACTTATAGTCAATAGGAAAATTGATGTCAAAAACCACAATAGCATCAGACATGATTCTCAATAATTGGGTTTATAGAATATCTCAATTTATTAAACGTCTTTTCCCAAATCCCTTCTTCTAATGAGGTTTTAAAAGACTTATTTTCGATGAGCATTGGACTGACATTGACAATATCCATCAGGTATAATGACTGGCTACCACCAACTTGTCACCTAGTTTACCCATAGTTGGTATTAACGAATAGGCACTGACCGTCAAGTCCATAATTGTGAGGAGGACTCGGCATGTGCGAGGGCGATCCTCCTGTCACAGTTCCGTTCATCAGATGAGGTTTCGTCAGAGGCTGCGCTCCGTACTGCTGGGGAGGGGTCGGAGTACGACCGGCTTGCTACACGAAATAAAGTTTTACGACTAAAGTAATAAAGCTCATCTAATGGCAATTTGATATTAGCCTTGCATCAGCTCATTGGCTTGAACATTAAGTTGTAAATCCAAAAGTATATTTGGTGGGATTAACCCTTTGACTGCCATGTAGGTCACTGGTGCCCTACGTGGTGCACTGAAGAATTTATGTCGAATTCTGTTAGTCAGCACCGGAATTGCCTAACTTTGTCTTTTTTGTTTTTAATGTATGTATCTTAGTATCTTCGAATTCGTCTTTCCTAGAGTCTACTAGATATTCCGGCGCCTTTGTAAGAAGATCGAAGGCAGAAATCGACATAATTACTTTAGTCCCCCATGTAGGGCACCGCTGACCTACACGGCAGTCAACGTGTTAATGTGGTGTTAATCATGATGCTTTATTTTAAATTGGAAATTTCATTTTTATTAAGTGCTATCTTTAAAATTTCAGATTCGATAACTTTGATGTGCATGGCGTCCCCTGCTCTCGAGGGTCAGTGATGCTGGTTTTTTACAACAACAGGGCGCCAGCATCAATTCGCATTTTTTTATATAAATATTTCTTTTGTAAATTTTTTATTGCTTAGATGGGTGGACGAGCTCACAGCCCACCCGGTGTTGAGTGGTTACTGAAGCCCATAGACATCTACAACGTAAATGCGCCACCCACCTTGAGATATAAGTTCTAAGGTCTCAAGTATAGTTACAACGGCTGCCCCACCCTTCAAACTGAAACGCATTACTGCTTCACGGCAGAAATAGGCAGGGTAGTGGTACCTAACCGCGCGGACTCACAAGAGATCTTACCACCAGTGCAGTCCTTTGATTGCACTGGTGGTAGGATCCACCATTGAACCATTGGCTCAAGTATGACTCATTCTGACTCAGTCTTGTTTTAAACGGAGATATGACTTTAGTCCATCTTTACTGTACCTTTGAGGTCTGGTAAGTGAAAGTGGTCTTACGGTCGTATTGCGACTTCTCAACGCCTCTACCAAACGAGTTGGCCTGAGTCGTCACTTCTCCTTTGAGAAGTAATATGATTATAGACAGCTTCTCGTAGGCAGAGTGCTGTGGTGTGGTGGTGAGTGGCTTACCTGTTGCAGATACTCCCCGATGAGTGGTGGGTACGACAGGTACCTGTCCGAGGACATGTTGTAGTAGGAGCCGTCGAGTGGCGGCATCGGACTTGGAGCTGGTACGTAATTCGGCTTACCTACAGATGAACATACATAAATCTCTCTATTTTAGCTGTAAATGGGCCTAGGAGTGCATAATCTACCAGTGGCCCATTGCAAGGTAAATGTAATTTTTTTTTCTCCTACCTATTCTGATAGCCTTGAGGCTATTTCAGCGTAACCTTAACTAGTAGGTGAGCTCACGGGGCTCAAACCTGACGACGTTGCTAACACGAACCCTAGTAAGAGCCGTGCTTCGCAGAATCTACCACCGGATCGGAAACTCAGTGGGCTTGAATGCCATCGCTAGCTCTGAGGTACATATAAAATATGGGAACGAAATATCAATTGTATTGCTCGTTTCATTTAATTGAATTCTAATTGATTAAATTCTCAAATAAATTAATTGCATTTTATTTCCTTTCATATCATTTTTCACATTATAAAAGAATATAAAGAGATATATAAAGACTCGGTTTAAAGGTGAAATGGTCACGAAACCTTCAAAATAAAAAGTGATGCACCAACAATAAACAAGATAAGTGGAGTAAAAATTTCCCGAATCATTGGCTCAAGTATGACTGACTCATTCTGGCTCAGTCTTGTTTTAAACGGAGATATGACTTTAGTCCATCTTTACTGTACCTTTGAGGTCTGGTAAGTGAAAGTGGTCTTAGGGTCGTATTGGGACTTCTCAACGCCTCTACCAAACGAGTTGCCCAGAGTCGTCACCACTAATTGTGATACTGGAACTGTAATTCTTCGGTAGAACTTACCAGCGCTTCTGCCCAGCGTGCTGTGTCCACTCATGTCCTTGTGCCTGTGAGGGTGGGGCAGGGTCCTGGAGTGGTCGCCGTCGTACACTGCGTAGTTCGGCGGGGGGTAATCCAAGGGTGGTGGGATCACTAGACCCTGGTCCTCCATTAGGTACGCATCAGTTGTCTGCAAGAGATTACACGATTAACATTTATGAATAAAGTAACCACAAGGTGGTACATATAATAAGACTTGACCAGTTTTTGGTCATTCTTAAAATATCCGTTGCCTGTGCTTTCCAAAACCGATCTGTTGTTAAATGGACACCAGAGTTCACACATGAGGTCCAAATTTCAAATTATAATTTACAACGCCTAACCACCCTTTCTAAAAAAATAACAAAAGGGCAATATCTAATGGCACTATATGGATTTACAATAATCCCTTACCTACCCATTAAATATATAAATAAGGGTGTAGGAAAACAATCAGTACTGACCTGACTAAGCATGTGTCTATTGTGTATAGACGGCACCTCAGGGATCGGCGGAGGGTGCCTCTCATCGCCGTCGTCCTGGGAGTAAGTTTCGGATTTCTCAGATACGGAGCTGAGGGTTTCTCCGGTCATGGTGTCGTTGTATGACGATGGAGCGTACATCTCTATTGTGGCTGATTTGGAAGCTTGGCCGGCTTGTTCTGTGGCAACACCGGTAAGGATCACATGAGTACATCAGCTATTGTGCGCGCGGATCTAGTTGGCCGCGCCTTAGGTATGTGAGCGGTGGGACGGAGAGGCGGGGGCGTTTGCTGTCACGCATGGCATGCATGGCAGACAAGACGATAACTGATAAATCTATATATATATATATATAACTAGTCAGGTCATAAATTCTGTCACATGTTTAATGTAAAATAATTGAAACAAGTTTATTCATTATGTAACCATTCATATACCAAAATGAACCATTTATATATATATATATATATAAATGAATTGCTGTTCGTTAGTCTCACTAAAACTCGAGATTAGCTGGACCGATTTGGCTAGCTTTGGTCTTGAATTATTTGTAGAAGTCCAGAGAAGGTTTAAAATGGTTTAAAATTTAGATAAATATGAAAATGCTCGGAATGAAATAAAAATAACAATTTTGTTTTTCCTTTTATGTGTCCCCCCGTCGGACGGATTCCTTTTGTTTGTTTTAAGTTAATTTTATACAAAAGTTTAGGTATTTTATTTATCGATTGAGGCACTACGAAGTCTGCCGGGTCAGCTAGTAACAGATAAAAAGACAATCTAAGGAAATAATATTTAAAGAGCATACGTTTTTAAAAAATCTTTCATATCGATACTAAATTCTTATAATTTTTTTTTTTATTGCCCTTGTAGGCCGACGATCATATGGCCCACTTGACGGTGAGTGATTACCGTCGCCCATGGACTTCTCAGCAAGCCAGGGGCAGAGCCAAGCCGCTGCCTACTAAATGTTTCTTATTATATTAATATACTTCAATTAGTCATAAACTTAATTGGTTTTTGGTTAATTTACTATTAATTATAATTTAATTAGATAGGTACAATATAAATTTCTAAAAGTTCAATTGTTTTTTTATTAATTCTTTTCAATAATTGAACAATTATTGTTTACGATATCTCGAGATTGGTCATCACTGTCTAATCTCATGTGCGTTGCGAGCAGCCCGCCCCCTCACCCCTCATCCCGCCACCTAAGGCGCGGCCAACTAGTTCCGCGCACACTATAACAGTGCTTACAGTTGAACTTAGACTGAGCTTTGTGATTTTACTGAGGTAATTTTCTATCAACTAATGTGACATAAAATCCCAATATATATACATAAGTTGGGTTAAGTCGCCAATCATGAGCTTTAAGTAATTTGGTAACCACGGTCTTATTAGGGATATTTGTTTCATGGATTGCCAAAGTAACAGAAAAACAATTATATTTAGGACTATAATACTAACTACATTCACCATACCACTACTAAATCAAAAGCCTGTATGATTTACGAAATATAGAAAAAAAATATACAGCAGCATCTTGGTTAAATTCGTTTCGATTTTGAACCCGTATTCTTAAGTTTGTTTTAAACATAATCAATAAACAACCTTGTTTATGAGTTAAATAATTTTGAAACTAATTTATATTAAGGCTAAGGCTTAATATACGCAAACAAGCGTTTTTGGAAGCACATTAAAATTGCAATGTTTTACCTGAAAATCATCTGACCATACCCCAAATATTTTTGTAGAATATTCCATTTTTTTTTATTGCTTTGATTGGTGGACGAGCTCACAGCCCACCCGGTGTTAAGTGGTTTCTGAAGCCCATAGACATATACAACGTAGATGCGCCACCAACCTTGAGATATAAGTTCTAAGGTCTCAAGTATTTTTACAACGGCTGCCCCACCCTTCAAACCGAAACGCATTACTGCTTCACGGTAGAAATAGGCAGGGCGGTGGTACCTACCCGCGCGGACTCACAAGAGGTCCTAGCACCAGTAATTACGCAAATTATAATTTTGTGGGTTTGATTTTTATTACAAGATGTTATTCCTTCACCGTGGAAGTCAATCGTGAACATTTGTTGAGTACGTATTTCATTAGAAAAATTGGTACACCCGCCTGGGATTTGAACACCGTTGCCTCGCTCAACACGAATGCACGGGACGTCTTATCCTTTGGGCCACGAAGAATGAAATGATAGTTAATTAGCATGGTATTGATAGAGTTAAAACGAGCTAATATTAATAACCAAGATCCTGCTAAGAGACAAAAAGAGAGAGAGGGTATAAAAATAACAAATACCTTTGATGCGCCTCAAACGTCGCTTCCAAACGAAACAAGCGATCAATGCGACATTTATCAATACTAAGACGGCTCCTGTTAGAGACACGTAAACAATGACAGGCTTGGATATGTCAGGTGTCTCTACGTATTCAGTGGATACCGTACTCAGTTCGCCTACTTCCGAAGAAGCTTTTGGGAGGGAGAAAAAAAAAAAGAAAAGGACTTATAGCAAATGAAAATAAAGTAGCTTTTTGGATGGATATATTTCTCGAGGAGATGCTATAGCTTCCACATTTATTTCGATATACAAGATCATAATATAATAGGAGTGAAGTAGATTTGGGGATCGAAATTCGTAATATTTAACAGATTTACGGTCAATATTTTCAAAGCTTTTTAACAGCATCTCTTGGGAAATTTATCCTTTATCTAGCCTAAATAATTAGCGGTAAATTAGTCATAGTCAGTTAGCTACAAAGACGGCAATTTGATTTTTGTCAAAAAAGAAAACAACTTTGGGAATGAAAATAGATAATTCCCGATGCTCTTAATTACAAATGCTTTAATTGCAATCTTTAGAACTAACCGAATTGACAGACTTAAGCTATATTTTGTTCAAACCTCTGATCCTTTTGTTTGTCCTTTTATGAAGACATAACCCAACCATTAGTACATTGAGCAAAATAAGTGCAGTGCCAATAATCGTGCCAACAATTATGAATACCCCAGGAACGTGGTATGAGTATTCTTCTGAGCTCTGTACTGATGAGTGGATTAAGTCTTTGGCAGCGTGGAAATAATCGAACATATAATAAATGTCTACGTTGTAGAGAGATTAGATCATGTCTAACATGACAACCTGCTAATTATTGTTTTATAATAGTGCTTAAATATTTTCTTTATTGTTTAGATGGTTGAACGAGCTTATGATGGTTTTGAGCGGTAACCGGTGCCCATAGACATCAACAATGTACGTCGCTCACATTGAGACATCAGTTCTCAGGTCTCAGTTTATACAAATGGCTTGATTCACGGCTGAAATAGGCAGGATGGTGGTACCTACCCATGCGGACTCAGAAGAAGTCCTACCACCAGTAAGAGATACAAGAAATTTAAAGATTGCTTTTCATAATTTGTTAAATCTCATTAGTCGCAGAGTTTGGATAGATATTTTTAAAACTCATCACAACATTTTATTACAAATTTTTAGCAGTTAAGGAGCCAAATGGAAGCGGTTAAATTTCAGGGAGCACTTTATTGGGAGTCTGCTTACGATATTTAGTCGGAGCCAGTATCTTTACTACTGGTTACTGGTTCTCATCTCAGAGCTATTTTATTTGGACTGTATCTACCACAGCACTTCCTACACCACCCTTGTTTGACTAGCAGATAACAACTTAGGTAAAACGTCTGCCATTGTACTCTTGTAAATAAACTTAGATAAATGTATCGATAACATCCCAAAATCTCAGCTTGAGGCCGACGATAAACGACTTTAACATTACGCGCAAAGTATCTCACCAATCATGTCTGAGACAGAACTAAGCCTTTCGTTACGTAGGCCTCAATTCTTAAGTACTTAATCAACAATATTAACAAAACAATTATAACTGTACTCACTCAGCGTCGTCGCCTTCGTGTCGTCCGGTCTGTATTTGCTTTGCCCTATTTTGTTAATAGCCATCACGGAGAATATGTAATCGGTGTTCTTCTCGAGTCCGCGAACGGTGAAGTTCGTAGCGTGTTTGGGCAGAACATCCTCGTACTTGTACGAGTCATCGAACACTTTTCTAAAGCGAAACGTGACAATGTTAATTTGTTCAGTAATTGGACAGCAGAAAACACTTGATAGCTTAGAGAGACTATTCGTGACAGGGAAGATTGAGGGAAAGAGACCACGCGGGTACAGTCCGATAAGGTTTTTTTTATTGCTCTTGTCGTCCGTACCATCGCCCATGGACTTCAGCAATGCCAGGAGCAGAACCAAGCCGCTGCTTACCGCTTAATCCACAAGCCTCGTTTGAAGAAGAACATGTCATAGCGCTCGGGAAACACCGTGGCGGAGAGCTCATTCCATAGCCGGATGGTACGTGGCAAAAAAAACCTCTGGAAACGCACTGTGGATGAACGCAGCGGCTCCAGATAGTATGGATGAACTTAACTCCGGTGGCGGGCGGTGCGATGGTAAAAGCGAAATGATTGTATCATCTCGAATAATTCCTCAAATCAAATCCGTACCACATTAGAGATTCCATTCCACGAAGCCCTTCATGCGGCCTATGATCGGAGGTGCTGGAGGGATATTACAAGGAATTAAATCCTTTTGAAACATGATAGTCACGACTCTCAGCAGTGAGGTAAAATCGCGAGGAGAGAGGACAGTTAATAATATAAAAATAAGAGAGTTCTTGAAATATATAAAGCTCCTCTTTGTCGCTATGATCCATGGACAATTTTTGTGCCATCAATGCTACAGGTAGAAAAATCTATATTACAAGCTGATCATCTATTCCTTACCTATATCGAATTCTATACCAAGATTGCAGTCCTCCGTCGAAGCCTGGTACCCACTCCAATGTCACCGTACTGTGAGTTACATTTGTCACGGTTAGCGAGACCACTTGATCTGTAAAATAAATTTAATGTCAGAACCTTCTAGAGAGATAAAAGACGAACGGAATACGTTTATGGCAGAGCAGCAAAATTAATTGCAAATTTAAATTGAAAGCACGTTTGAAGTCAGCAACTTACTTAACGAAAAGCCTCAAACATAATGATATTGTTTGGAAATGAGCTTGCAAAGAACTTGATAAGTTTAGTGTAAAGGACATTATTTTTTCGTATTCATTACCGAGTTACCTATTAATGGCAATGGCTTTAATATTATTACAGTGAAACTTTTATTATATCGTTCAAACTTTTTCGTCTGTGTGTTGCATGTCGCGTGACGGTCGGCCGCGGAATTGGGATAAAGTGAAAGGTGCTCGTCAGAGCAGCTAAGGCCAATATGGCGGCGCCTAGCTCGCAGCAGCTGACCGTGTAGTGTATAGACTATTACTCATTTGTACCAGTGCTCCATGCTATTCTGTTTGTTTTTGTCAGTGTTTAATGTAGATGTTATTTGTCAGAGTTAAATATCTATAATGTGAAAAAAAGTTTCACTTTTACCGTGGCTTCATAAAACCACACAATCCTTTTTTTTTTTAATACTAAGACACTATGAGATGTCTCGAAATAAAAGATTTTTGTTTTATTTTATTTTTATTGATATGTATTTATGCGTTGGACTGATCAGGTAAAAGACTTTTATCCTGTTCTGCTCAAATACAAGCTCATTAAACATCGAGCGAGCTGAACTCAAGCTTTCAAGAATGGAGATGCAGGTTTGTAGTGGAAATCTGTAAACTATCTTCTATTACGATGATGTAAATCACGAGATCACTGTTTACCTGGTGCGCTGGTCACATCTAATTTCACCGTCGTGGTACTGAACCCAAGCTCGTTCCTGGCGCCACACTCGTAAGACCCATAGTCTGAAGTGGTCACGTCATTGATGAGCAGCACCGAGGTGTAGGTGATGTGATCGTTCTTGTGGAACTCCGCGAAATATTTCGTAGATGTATTTACAGGTAGCTTCACTCCATTTTTGGACCAGGTAAAGCTAGGCGCTGGCACTGATTTGCATCTAAAATTAGGAAATGTATTTATGTTACATCATATTCTACAAAAAATGTGGGTACCGGAGTTAAGGACCCGATCCTGAGATATGATACGTATGTATATTTTAAACATGAACTACATTAAAACCCAAAACACAACTACGTAAGTCCCAATGAATCAATCCTCAGATAGCATCAAAGATCAAGGCGATTGCATGCAGCAGAGATGCGAATGTTGCGATGGATGTGTAGAGTAACGAGAATGGATAGAATACGGAATGAATATGTTAGAGGAAGTCTGAAAGTGGCACCTGTGACAGAGAAGCTGAGGAGTGCGCGTTTGGGATGGTATGGACATGTGATGAGACGAAATGAAAATGAGGTTGGTAAGAGAGTGTTAACTATGAATGTGGAAGGATATAGAGGAAGAAGAACCTAAGAAGAAATGGATGGATTGTGTGAAAGACGATATGGGTAAGAGGGGAGTGAGTGAAGAAATGGTATATGATAGAAGAGTATGGAAGGAGAAAACATGTTACGCCGACCCCAGGTGACTGGGAGAAGGGCAGGATAATGATGATAGCATCAAAGATCTTCATCAGCTTATGCGTATAGTTCTTCCTTATTTGAAAATTATTCGTATGATGCCATCAAAGTCAGAGCTCCGCTGACCGGCGGCTTCTTGTGCGTCCGCAGACTCGTATCGAATACGGCTTATTAGAATCATGGTACAAAGTTTTTTTTTTATTGCCCTTGTAGGCAGATGAGCCCACCTGAGTGGTTACCGTCGCCCATAGACTTCAGCAATGCCAGGAGCAGAGCCAAGCCGCTGCCTACCGCAAAACGACGAGCAAACGTAAAATCGATGTTAGAATTCAAAAGACCGCCCGCTAATATTTGTTGTAGATTTACCATTAACAAAGTTAATAAATCATTCTTCAGTCACTATCATTTCTACTTATATTTCTAGTTATAATCACTCTATATACATCTTTCATCTTTCATATAATTATTTAAATTATGTACGAATTCCGTGATCATTAGTATTGAACAAACAATTAAAAAGCACAGACCAAAAATTGTGAAAAAGCTTTTGAATGTTAAAAAGAAAAACATTTGAAGAATCTGCAAAATATATGAGTAACTTTGTAAAGATATATAATTTTAATGTGAACGTAATATACAGCCAATGAAAATTCGAGGACAGAAAAAAAAACGCCTATACGTCTCGAAGTTAAACTTAAACTGAAAGTAATTGGTTTTTTTTTCAAATATTAAAATAATACAAGTAATAGTTAGTAGGACAAACCAAAGTCCTAAAAATGTACAGAATTTCAACTAAATTAACTGTAAAGCTGTTTTTTGAGTTCTTCAAAACGTGTAATTAAGCACAAAATGTCTTACTACCAGCAGGTCTTAAATCGTTATCCTCGCACTTACTTGCACATCAAACGTCCAACTTGTCCAACATTTGAGGCCGATTTGACTAAGTTAGGTGAAGTGTCCATCTCAGGTTTGAACTTAACTATAAGCATAACGTCTTGTTTAGTCGGACTTCCAATACCATTGTTGACCACACACTGAAAATTACCCAAGTTCTCGCTTTTTGCCTTGCGTATTATTAAATAACTTGTGAGATTCTTCGGTTCAAAAGTTACAGACTTGGGGTCGATTTTGTACCCTTTGCGTTCCCATTTAATGTGCTCCGCTAATAGAGGATTTCCTGTTGATAGATTGTTGATTATTATTAATGTTTAAGGGTGATTTTGTAAAATTAAGGTCATTAAATTTAATACCGACTTAATTGACACAAAAGCAAAACAATTAACATATTTGGTTTACTTGAACTTATCACACGTCTACAAAGGTATAATAAAATCATCTAAAACCACCAACTTACCGATCGCAGTGCAAGACAAAACGGCGTCTTCGTTTGGGTTCGCAACCACATTTTGAGACACCGACTTAATACCCGCTGGATCTAAAGAAATAAGAAAATTTATGAGTCCATCTGTAGCTATCGATTGATCCTTGAGGGACAGGTTCAAGGAAATCAAAATTCTAACTTTAGCGTCCCAATACATTTTTGAAAATTTATTGAACGTGCGTAAAAACATTGAAGAATTCCCCAGAGTCTGCGATTTGCATAATGTGAACACTAGGAACAAACATAGGCTTAAGTTGCTGGCGGCTCGAATTAAAAACATAAGCAACTCTTTTAGGGGGCTGGGTAATTGAACGTTTTGTGGGATCTTGTTAAAAAGTTGTAGCTTTTTAACAAGATCCCACAAAACGTTCAATTACTACCTGTTCATAGATTTAAGAAAACTGTCAAGGAACGTTTGTGCAACAAGGCATATTATAAAGTTAAGGATTATTTACTAGATGGCACTACGTGGGGATGAGGCGTTCGCTCCTGGCCTTTTCATTTTTCATTATTATGAATTTTTTTTATTGTATTTTTTGACTGGTTTTTGCGTTTATTGTAAATATTTTTACTTATTTAAAAACAAAAAAAAAACCCGCTGAGTTTGTATCGCCAGTTCTTCTCAGGACTGTGGCTTTTTTGGAACCGGTGGTAGAGTTAACATTGTTATTTATATTTTGACATTCAACAAGTGTGTTATACTAACATCTAAGTTGAAATAAATGATTTTGAATTTGAATTTAATTTGAATAATTTGACTGGAATTTGGTAAAAGCCTCGAGTCTATTGTGAATTAAATTACAGTCTGATTGATAACGATATTATATTTTCACGAAATGTATTTTATATTCTGATCCTAGAGACACTTATTTGTAATAAATATATTAGCAATTCAGAGTGAAATAAATATTGATATTATATGAAGATATTTTAAAGACTTTTGCGATTTTATTATAATATTAATTTCAATTGTGTTATGTCTAAGGTTTTCAAAGTTTTCTGAAGAAAATATTAAAAAAAATATAGTCAAGATTTACTTTATTAATCGAGATGGGGAGACGACTTCTCGGTCCAGCACCTTCAAGTGGGTCTTGTGCTATTGACTTGATAATGTCAAAAAAAATCACCGTGATGGAGGCAATTGTATAATTGATATTGAAATCAAGAGGAGAAATAAATTACCCAATCAATGACCCATCGCTAGTTTTAGTTTAGTCGTGGATTGCGTAAAGGTTATTACAAATGACATAGTGCAAGGGTACACACACTTGCATGTTAGATATTATTATATTAGTTATGCTAATGTAACTCTTAATGCCAATTATGTTGATGGCAAGCAAGGCAGCACCATGTGCTGACTGGATACCAGATCATAGATAAATATTGAAGGTTTTTGATTTTTGAAGAAGTGAATAAGGACTTTTCACAGCCCTCATAAAACATTCCGGATGCGGATACGCAACAGTGTGGTAGGTAGCAGTCCCATGTAATAGGGGTGAACTCTATGGTTGGTGGTGCACTGGTTATAAGAAGATAGCGAGATAATCTTGAACAAGTTTTTTTGGTGATTGAGGAATTACTGGTGGCCCAGAGGCCATTCCAGTTTCACCAGGACAGATGGACGAGCAAGGGCTCAGCCAAGAGGTGTGAGATTTGCTAACAGCTGCCCGAGTGCCTCCATTGGAGACCTAACAGCTCAAGAGTAGCTGCTTTACGAATTAATTTACTTCTCGATCAATGCATAAATACTCACAGTGTACTGATACGGAAATATTGGCGACAGCAGCTCCCTGAGAGTTCACAGCCTCACAAGTGTATATCCCGGCATCGTGACGAGTCAATTTCGTCATGTTCAGCATGCTGCCTTCTGATATTATCCTGTCATCTGTTCAGAAAAACAAAACATTACAGATTTGTGCCCATAAAAGTCCCTGTCTATTTCGGCCGTTAAGTAGCAGTGCGTTTCGGTTTGAAGGGCGGGGCAGCCGTTGTAACTATACTGAGATCTTAGAACTTATATCTCAAGGTTGGTAGCGGCATTTACGTTGTAGATGTCTACGGGCTACAATAACCACTTAGTACCAGTTGGGACGTGACCTGGTCCACCCACCTAAGCAATAAAATATATATTTTATAATTAATTAGTACATGTTTTGTTCTTTAAAGTTTCTGACTTTGTTTTAATTGCTAAACAGACAGTCGATAAGGTAAATCTAGGTCGACGATCCCCCCCCCCCCTTATTTAATTAGAATAAGGCCACAATTATTCAGTTCAAATAAACTTCAGTTTTGTTACTTTAAGTCGAAAAAACGTATTGTCATTTAGGAAAACTGTTCTTTAACTCGCTTTTAAGAACTCGGTATGTACATAATATAGATTGTTGCATGTAACAGAATCTCTGAATGTCATTTTAACCGACATTAAGAAATTAGATTGTCTTGAAAATTTGAAAATCAACGCGCCGACGACATTGATAATAATTTTATACCGCCCCTCTAATAATCCTGAGCGGTATGAGCAGGATAAAAAAATAAATAATTTATTGCTAGTTCGTTTTTTTTCTTGCGTTTTTTTTTTAAGTATCTAGGTTAAGTCTATTTAGTTTAAGTGACGGTTTAGATTTGTAATATTTACCTATTCCGTTCACATACATAATATAGTCAATTAAAAAGTAGATATATAAATACTTTTTTTTATTGCCCTTGTAGGCAGACGAGCCATACGACCCACACGATCGTGAATGGTTACCATCACTCCTGGACAATTAGTAATCCCAGGGGCTGAGCTAAGCCGCTGCATACCATTAACAACTCTTCACAAGAGATTATTAATCGGATGCAAATCATCAAAGAGACAGAAAGAGTTCAATACGAATCAAATGAAATTCGCTTTTAATCTAGTACTGGATAAGATCGCAAACTCACTGCCGCTGCTGTAGGAGGACTGTGTGATGGGAAGGCCGTCCTTCGTCCACGTGTAGGTGATGCTGGGCGGGTTGCCATCCGCTCTGACCGATATTATCAACGGCTCGTTTTCGATTCCCACTGTGTTGTAAGATGTCGTGTCGTCGAATATTGGTGCATCTGAAATACAACGCAGATTAACGTTTGATCTTTTGAAGTTTTTTTTCTTTTTTATTGCTTAAATGGGTGGACGAGCTCACAGCCCACCTGGTGTTAAGTGGTTACCGGTGCCCATAGACATCTACGACGTAAATGCGCCACCCACCTTGAGATATAAGTTCTAAGGTCTCAGTATAGTTACAACGCATTGCTGCTTCACGGTAGAAATAGGCAGGGTGGCGGTACCTACCCGCGCGGACTTACAAGAGGTCCTACCACCAGTAATAAAATAAAATGAAATTTAATTCTTTCGACGCTTAAAAGGATTCAAGAATGTTTTTATCAGAACTCTAACTTCAGAATCAAGTTCAGTATTATATTTAAATATATATAAAATAGATCAGTGATGAGATTATTATATCGGATTGCCTTGGGATTATGTCTGATGGGCTGGATGATGGGTATCATGAGACTTGTGTTGCCGTCAGTTTGCCGCCGGTCTTACAAAAATTCTTATATCCGGACACCCATAATCCCCAAAAAAAACATCTAATAATTAGCTGCGACTTCATATCAAGATACATTGACGATCACATAATTTCCACTGCTAACAACCTCATATCAAGATACAGTGTTGATCACATCATATCCGCTGCTAATGGAGTCTGTGTTAAAATACTTACACAAAACCTTCAAGGCTAAAGCATCATGGACGCTTCTCTGCAGGACTTCGTTGGTTGCCTGGCACGTGTAGACAGCACCGTTCATCTCCTTAGTGATGCTGAGTTTCAGTTCTATTGTAGACACTTTACCCCCGTGCAGACCTTTCTTGAGCTGCATCGGAGCACCTATTGGACGAGAAGTGGATCCTGAATAATAGTTCTTTAAGAAAATAAATTCCCTACCTATTCTAGTAGCCTCGAGAGGTTATTTAAGATTTGCCGAGCTAGCAGGTGAGCTCACGGGGCTCAAACCGGGAATATTGCTAACACTGGCCCTAGCAAGAGCAGTGCTTCGCAGGATCTACCACGGATCGGAAACGTGACCCACTGCAAAGATCTGGCGAGAAACTCAGTGGGCTGTGTCTATGGGTTAATTTACTCATCGAGCCCTTCGTTGCAAGCGACTGGTTTGGCGAGGACGGTGACTGGTGCTTTATGATACCTAATGTATCTTTTCATAGAAACAGTTCTGTACCAATCCTTGATGCTCAGTAACACAACCATATTTCTCATAATTTCGTAATTTTTTTATAGAAAAAAATGTGTATTATTGTTTTTGTGTTGTGGGAGCAAGCTCTGAGTACTTTGTAGATTTTTTTAGTAGTGAAACTGCATTCCGGATCGTTTGCAAAATTATAAGTACATACTTTGTTGCTACTGTGTACCTTCATTGAATTTTGATTCTTTAAATACAGAATTTACTTGTACACTTAAAAGAAAACATTCTGTGGTCGTGATACTACAGTACATACTTCTACCACTACTAGAACTTCTGAAATACAACGACAGATAAAAGTGTAAGGATTGTATTCTATTCCTATCAATATTTACTCACTTTGAACTGGGATCCCATCACGCCACCACGACAGGGTGGCAGGCGGGTTGCTAGACGCGGAGTCGCAGATCAGTGTCGCTTCGATTCCCGGCTTAAGCACGTCGGGTTCAGCTCGGACCTTGACAGCTTCAGGTGCGACTGTCGGATTAACATTATATTTATTATCAAAAACTTTAGCTTCCTCTAAAGCCACATCGTTTCGTTCTTGCCCGAAAAAACCAACTACAAAAGTGCTTAAAGGTTTGTTCGCTTCAAAGATCAGTCCTTTCGTGGTGCTTATTGCTTAGATGGATGGACGAACTCACAGCCCACCTGGTGTTAAGTGGTTACTGGAGCCAATAGACATCTACAACGTAAATGCGCCACCCACCTTGAGATATAAGTTCTAAGATCTCAGTATAGCTACAACGGCTGACCTACCCTTCAGACCGAAAAGCATTACTGCTTCACGGCTGAAATAGGCAGGGCCGTGGTATCTACCCGCGCGGATTCCCAAGAAGTTCTACCACCCGTAATAAATTCTGGGCGCTCTATGAAGATCGCGGGGAAAACCCTCAATGAAGAGTGCATAGTTTACTCACAGTGTACGTTTAGTGTGACTGTTTCAAAGAGCGGTATCTCGGTCGCACTGTTCGTGGCCTCACATCTGTACTGGGCCTGATTGTCAGTCACATTGGTCAGGATCGAGATCTCTGCTGACACCGCTTTGTCCGTTGTCTTAGTTGTTGAATGTATCTGTAAAGAATGTATTGTAAAGTCTCCTATTGCTTAAACAGAAGGGAGATTTAGTTGCGCGTCTGGCGTTGCGAAAATTGCGCATAATTCTGCTGCTAAGTGATAACGGTTGCGGTTTGATAGGTGACAGTTTTACACAATTAAGACTTCGATGAGTGTCTGAAATTGGTGGTATTAGCTTCAGTATCTACTTAATGCCAATGATGAGCTTTAGTGATGCTATTAGCATCAGTAACTACTTTACCCCAGAGAGGGAGATCTTGAGGTCTAAGAGCATCAATTACCGCAGACCAAGCATGCTATCTCAAAAACCATTCATTAACTAGGCAGAGCTAAAGAGGCTCCACTACAGTTTCATTCTTAGAATTCTTCTTGTCTTTTTCCTACGTTGTGTGGGTTTGGCGGAGTATAACCTCTTATCATGCTGCATGATAGTCTAGCGTCAACCCTCATTGGGTCATATCTCCATATATTCAATACAATGTGTAATAGGGAGGGACGTTTCTGTTTCATCTATTGGTTTTTGAAGTTATACTTCTTTAGGCGCGTTATGAAAAATTGATGAGAGTGAAATTTTACGATGCGCGCGCACCGTGACACAAAATTAACAGAATGAAGTTGCCCACTAAATCGCTCCTTACAATACGACCGACGTAACTTGGCGAGTCTGAAAATAGCCGCAGGTGAACTTTCCGAACCGTACCGAGAATTACCGAATTTATACGATGTCAAGAAAAGGGATGTCCAATATGCGTGTTTGAGGATGTTGTTTAATCTATTTTTTTTCAAATTGATTAATATTTAAAAAAAAGAAAAGAAATGAATTTAATAAAAATAAAGTATAACTTCTTACGCGCGTACATAAGTACACGCACCCTTGTTTTTCTTTTACCTCTTTCTTTTTTTGCTCTATGATTGTCATTTTTTTGTTTAAATATTTATTACAGTAAAATTAAGATTTTAAAATATGAAAAAACGATTAAAATATCACCTAGACAGACATTTCTACGTACGTGTATAAGTTGGATTCGTAGAATATAATAATTTAATGTACAAAATTTCGCCTTCAATTTTAAACACATTTGCTACTTTATGAAACATTAGAAATATAGGAGTTTCAGACGAGAGAAAATTATTATTCGAGCAAAATGTTATTTTAATTTCATTCGAGACAGCGCCACGGAAACTCGTTACGAAAATCTTGAGTATGGTTTTTCTGAGTAATTATGTGTCTAGCAATTGTTCAGCAATAACTTCAATGCTGAAAGAATAACATCGTATGATAACTCCTGGTCTGAAAGGTTTGTACACTTAGTGTTTTTATTAGTGGAAGGGATATTTGAGGCTTTCAGCGCAAAAGTGGCTTACCCTAGTTAGTATGGAAGCAATTAGGTTTGTATTTTCTTGAATTTGAATTTGTTTATATGTTATCTATGGGTAAACTATGGAGCCGGTTTTGCATCAAAATTTATTATATCACTACATAGTATAAAACAAAGTCGCTTTTTCTGTCCCTATATCCCTATGTATGCTTAAGTCTTTAAAACTACGTAACGGATTTTTATGGGTTTTTTTAATAGATAGAGTGATTGAAGAGGAAGATTTATATGTATATTAACATCCATTAAATAGTGGAGAAATCAAGAATATTACAGTTTCCGAAGCGAAGCGAGGGCGGGTCGCTGGTTTTAAATAAATTCGATTATACGTCATATAAGTTTGAATATAAAAAAAAAAATTGGGTTAAGCCACTTTTGCGCTGATGACCTTATTTATATGCGTTATATCTAGTATGTAAATATAGGTAATTTTGAAGTCTTCATGTAATAACCGGTAAGACATCTTGGACTATATTCTAATAGAGACATAAAACCAGCACATTTAATTTCCATTGTCTTAAAGTCGTTTTTTAATCCAACCGTCACAACATACTAGTTAATGTAATATACAAAATTTATCTAAACCTATAGTCGTCAGTGATTATCGTCACTAAGCCAATGTAGAACACTAATAAAAATATGCATATTGATTTTTTGCCAGACTGAAGTTCTTCGTATTACCAGTGACTTTTTTTTCTTTTTTTTATAACAATCACGCTACTTTAACTAGTCCCATGCTCAGTTCGTAAAGAACTTGTGTTACAGGTACCAGATAACTGAAGTTATTTATTATTAAAAAAAAAAAATGTATGATTTTTATCATACACATACATAAATATATTTAATATACATCCATAACCCTGGAAAATACATTTTATATTTATTATACTGTGAAGTGACTTATTTTTTTTTGCTAGATAGTCTCGAGAGGCTATTTCAGCGTAACCTTAACTAGTAGGTGAGCTCACGGGGCTCAAACCGGAGTGATGCTAACAATGTCCCTAGCAAGAGCAGTGTTTCGCAGAATCTACCACCGGATCGGAAACGCGACCCACTGAGAAGATGCGGCGAGAAACTCAGTGGGCTGTGTCTGTGGGTTAATTCGCTCGTCGAGCCTTTCGTCGCAAGCGACGGGTTCGACGAGGACGGTGACCGGTGCTTGTGGTACCTAAAAGCACCGTAAATGGATCGGGAGGATCCGTAATGACGTGTTTTGGGCGACGTCGACTGTTTACCATTCGGTCTACAGGATTGGGTATGTAGTTTCCAGCGGCCACGACGAGAGGTTCTCTCATGTCGTGCCGCTTTCTCAAAGTGGCGCATGCTGACTTACCTTTTTGTCATTCTTAAACCACGTGAGAGTGGCCAAAGGGTTCCCTCCAGTCGAGATGCAGGCCAGCTTCTGAACTGTTCCGGCAGCGAGGGTTGTGCCGGGCACGTAGCCAGTTATCATGGGCGCCGAAGGTGGATCTGATGGAGAATTGATCATGCATTTAAAAATGCCACTGTCTTTTTTGGAGTACATCGTCCGATTGAAGATCTGATGGAGAATTGATCTTGCATTTAAAAATGCTGTTGTCTTTTTTGAAGTATATCATCTGATTGAAGATCTGATGGAGAATTGATCTTGCATTTAAAAATGCTGTTGTCTTTTTTGGAGTACATCGTCTGATTGAAAATCTGATGGAGAATTGATCTTGCCTTTAAAATGCCACTTTCTTTTTTGGAGTACATCGTCCGATTGAAGATCTGATGGAGAATTGATCTTGCATTTAAAAATGCTGTTGTCTTTTTTGGAGTATATCATCTGATTGAATAGAAACTTTGTTCACACTCGCTTCTGGTACGGCGTGCTTAGTGCGAGTTTAACGTTCTCGATAGCGTAAAAGTTAACTCATATTTGTATGCAGTTGGGACAGCGCCTCTAGCGGCAAACGCAGGCAAACGTTCCGACTCCATACAAATTTGAGTTAACTTTTACGCTATCGAGAACGTTAAACTCGCACTAAGCACACTGGTGTTTTTCAGTAACATTCATTTGCAGTAGGTGGCACTGGACGTTTAAGTTATTAGTCACAAGGCTGGGTATACTTTTTACATTTATAGCTACCGCAAACTGAAAGGATTACTGGTGGTAGGACCTCTTGTGAGTCCTCACGGGTAGGTACCACCACCTTTCCTATTTCAGACGTGAAGCAGTGTGTTTGGTTTAAAGGGTGGGGCAGCCGTTGTTACTATACTGAGACCTTAGAACTTATCTCAAGGTGGGTGGCGCATTTACGTCGTAGATGTTTATGGGCTCCAGAAACCACTTAACACCAGGTGGGTTGTGAACTCGTCCACCCACCCAAAGAAAAAAAAAATGCTACGGAATCTCAAAAATTATACTGTCTATGAAAATACATTTGATTGCTGAAAAACATGTAATTTCACAATCGAGTTCAATACACGACAAAGTTTCCTTTTAAAGCACGCAAATCGTTGAGCTTTGTGTGATATTGCTGAGCTTTTTTGTGGCTCCTCCTTTTTCTGTGTACGACTTAAATGTAGCTTTTGTTTTTCTTTTGAGTGGGAGCTTGTGAGATGAATCTGTTTATAAATCTATAAACATTTCGTTGTCTACTGTGGGCCTGCCCAGTGGAAGTGGTCACGTGAGTGTTCTATGCTATCCGCGCAACACTACAGAGAAAAAGAGTAGTCAGAATTAGACATTAGAAATATTATATCAATCATAATTCTTTGATCCACCATGGTCTTACCTATTTGCTTATTTAAATCCTTATTCTCTTATTTCGAATATTTTGTTTTCTTGGTAATAGTTATAAGAAAATTGTTTAATTATAAGAAGGATTTTACATTAATTTATCTCATAAAACATTAACGTAAGCCATGTGTAATTATTCCTTGAAAAACAAATTATTTTTTAAGTGTTTTATGTGTAGCTGTAGCTATCATAGCCCACAAGACCAGGCAGACGTCTGAATCGCGCTAGAGATATCTTTGAGATAAGTTACACGTCATTTCGAATCCTTCTGATCCACTAACGGTGCTTTTAGGTACCTCGAGCACCGGTCACCGTTCTCGCCGAGCCCATCGCTTGAGACGAAGGGCTCGACGAGCGAATTAACCCACAGACACAGCCCACTGAGTTTCTCGCCGGATCTTCTCAGTGGGTCGCGTTTCCGATCCGGTGGTAGATTCTGTGAAGCACTACTCTTGCTAGGGTTAGTGTTAGCAACGTCACCAGGTTAGAGCCCCGTGAGCTCACCTACTCGCCCTGTGAATCTAGTATAACCGTTTGAGGTTACTAAAATAGGTAAGAAAAAAAAAGTAATAAGCGTGCATTTCTACAAGTTCCAAAAAATTACATTCAAAACGTCGCTCTACCGATTTTCACTTTGTCGATTCCCCAAAAAGTGAATAAAATGACCAGCGATGGTTGTTTGTGGGCTGAAGATTATGGACTATGTTATTGTTGTGGTGCCCTAAAGGATAAGACGTCCGGTGCATTAGTGTTGAGCGATGCACCGGTGTTCGAATCTCAGGCGGGTACCAATTTTTCTAATGAAATACGCACTTAACAAATGTTCACGATTGACTTCCACGGTGAAGGAATAACATCGTGTAATAAAAATCAAACCCGCAAAAATTATAATTGGCGTAATTACTGGTGGTAGGACCTCTTGTGAGTCCGTACGGGTAGGTACCACCGCCCTGCCTATTTCTGCCGTGAAGCAGTCATGCGTTTCGAGTTGAAGAGTGGGGCAGCCGTTGTAACTATCAGTATAGACCTTAGAACTCATATCTCTATGGGCTGCGAGTTCGTCCACTCAACTATGCAATAAAAAAAAATAAAAAATATATGGCCGTCGTCTTTCCAAAAATCTCAACATTGATTCGTTCGATGCGAGTTCTGTCGCAAACTCAAAATTCGCGTTGTATCCTATTCTCTTTGAGATGGTTCCAGTTTGATCAGGGTTCCAGTTTGATCAGCAGTGATTTGTCCAATAAATACAGCTTAGGATATCAGCGATCTATCCAGCCTTATTCGCGGCACGTTCCCTTTCAGACCGGGCCATTAAGCAGGCGAGCTCATAAGAGATAGTGGTCGATACAGCATATCGATAGTCGGACTTATGCTTATCGATTATGTATTCGATAAATATGTATAAGTAACGAAATACGGTTTACTGGAGGTAGGACGACTTACGCACGGATAGCTACAACCACTGTGCGTATTTCTAATTCTAATTCTACTGTGGAGCAGTAATTCGTTTTGGTTTGAAGGATGAAGCAGCTGTTGTACTCTAAAAATTGAGACCTTAGAGCTCATGTTTCAAGGTGGGTAGCGGCATTTACGTTGTTGATGTCTATGGGCTCCAGTAACCACTTAACACCAGGTGGGCCGTGAGCTCGTCGACCCGCCTAAGCAATAAAAAAAGCGATAGGTTGTAATCTTTACGTGTCTCTGGTATGTATGACATCAGTCAGTAGTGGTAGCAACTCAGCATTATGTATTCGTAAGATATATATGCCTTTGAATGAAACATACCTTTATAAAAAATAGCTTTAAATCCGTTGTTGAATATTGGTTGTAGCGCTATTATCAAATATATTTAGTTTTACCACCCTGATGATGCGACGCAAAAGGCTCACTTACGGTATGTAGGGAAAGATGGCTGTTATCTCAATGCAAATCAGAACAAGTTTACGAACTTCAGTACAAACGCTTAATATTATATCCTTATTATGTCTTTAGATTATATCCTTATATAATCTATCATCTATAATAATATATTGCCAATAATACACAGCAACATAACTGCTATATCTTTATCTTTTCTCGAATTTCTGTAAATTAAACGGTTGTCTGGATGAGATCGCTTTTAGCGGTAAAAACGCCTATTGTACAAATGCATCTGATTGTTGACTGTTTTTTTTCTTAATTGTGTTTTGGTGTGCAATAAAGTGTATTCTATCTCTCTCTCTCTCTCTCTCTCTCTCTCTCTCTTCCTTAGCATCGCTCTTAAAAATCGCTGCTCGAATGGCCCCAACGTTTACAATCAAAATTCAAGGGACAGGCGCGCTTGGCATGTGTACGTAATTCGCATGCCCTATACGACTGTTTATATCTTACTTTCCTTCCAACATTTCGTCGCATCAATTTTTTTATAATACATCTGTACGCAACGTATTGGAAGCTGTGAATGTGAGGTCACGTGATGATTCATAAATAATCACATCAATATACCGACTGGTTAAAGGTTATATGGTTTGAGCGACATCTATATATTAATACATGAAGGAAAAACTTTGTATCCCTTTTTACCATAATTGCGCGGACGGAGGAGTATGAAATTTCCCACACTTATAGAGAATATAGAGAAGGAGTGCAGAATGCTAATTTTTTTTTAAATTATGCCTAAAAAATACATTAAATCAATAAAAAAACCCAATACACATACTATCATGTATTTGATACAACACAATTAAGTAAACACACTAGGTACTATGTATTTGATGCACACACGCATGCATACTATATAATTATTGTCAAAGTTTGTTCTTGACGTCTGTGGTCAAATTGAGAATAGATTAAATATTGTTTATCTTTGTTAATATTTTTCTATAATGTAGTCTTGGCGAAATTTGTGATTATAGAAGTATAATGGTCTTTGAAAATAGAATCATAATAGTGTACAAACTTACAATTTCAATTAATCACAATTATAGTCGAATTTCGACTACTGCGGGACCACTAGTTTTTGATAGTTTACGGGAGAATCATGTAAAGTTTAAAATTTCGAACAAAATATTAGCGTGACAAAAAAACTTCGTCTGCTATTTGAATGTGATAAACATAATTGATGTTCAATTAAAAACATCGAATTGTTATACTTTATACTAATATTATAAAGTGGAAAGATTTGTTTGTTTGTTTGTATTGAATAAATAAGCTCTGAAACTACTGAACCGATTTGAAAAATTCTTTCACTGTTTAGAAGCTACACTATCCTTGAGTGACATAAGCTATAATATTTTTTGAAAAAATTAGGGATCCTTACTAAAACTTCAATAATGTTACGCAAGGTATAAAAAAATTACTTAAAATATTCTTTACATCGCGTGCGCTGCGAAAACTATTGATGATAGAATAAAATAATGTACTACGACTTTGTTGAACACATTATTTATTAACAAAAAGTGTCGCGACAGCATATGTCTAACTATTATAGTTATGTCGCAATAAGTATTATTTTATCTAAAAAAATTAAATAACGTCAAATATCGTTAATTTATTGTCCGGAGCGGGCCGCTAGTACCAAATAAAACGAGCCTTTATTTACAAAGATAAATGTCGCGTGTTAACCGAAATGTAGATTATTATTTATTTATTTTTATTTATTTATTGCTTAGATGTGTGGACGAGCTCACAGCCCACCTGGTGTTACTGGTGGTTACTGGAGCCC